CTGTTTATGATACTTTACGTTTTATTGCATGTTGTTAAAGTTTCTGTGAAATGTCCTAGATGCCATCAATGAAGCAAATGTAAACCATGGGTTTTTTGGAGCATGTGGATGGATACATCTCCACTATTTTAGCACCAAAGAGATTTGCGTAAGTGAGAAGGGAAGAGAGTTATCTCATTGTTAGTCTCATCTGCAGGACAGCTCAAAAGGATTTAATGATGGTGATAACAGGTGTATTTCAATGCTTCTATAGGTATATCTATAGAACTGTCATTTGAGGTGAGAACTGAGCCTTACTATGCTTATTACCCCAGTAACATTTCTAAACGTATCTCTTACAATAATCTTTACCACTAAAATGTATCAAGAAAATGAGTTGTATTGTATTAAATGTGTATATTTAGATTGCCCCTCTTGGAAACTTTCATCACAAATAGGAAAAATATATGAAATGAGATTACTCGGTGACATAGTGATATTTATTAATCAGGAGATACTAGTTCGCGTAATCTGTGTATATTATTGTGTCACATTGAGTTCCAGGTTCCTTGCATGCTTTATATTCTCAATTTAAGACTAGTTATTGTTTTTTTATGCTCAGTAAGGCTACAATTCTTGCAAAGTAATGCTGTGTTCCTGGACTGTCAAATTGAATAATTGCATATTATGTTGTTTTAAGATTAGAAACACACTTGTTGCTATGCCTAGCAAATAAAGTTAATTTTTTTCTCCTTGTCTCATGTGGCCATTTTTATCAGTGTAAATCCAGACACTTGCTCAGTTTGTGAGATTTACAATTTTATCTTTCATAAACTCCATGGCTGCCCTTTGGATTCATAGTATGTTTTGGTACTACAAAGTTCTGATTTTCTTCCCATTGAGCCACCTGTCTTTTGTCATCAGCTCTCCATTGATTACTAGTCCCAGTGTTCTTATTGTGTTTAAAATTTTATGGGGACATGTAATAATTTACATTAATATAAGGAGCAAAGTCAAACAGATGACTTTGGCAGAGGTCATGGTTCTGGCACCATGGCCAATCTTAGGTTGAGAAAAATGAGGGTGGACAAGGACTACAAGCTGTGTCCAGAATATAATGAGAATGAAGTTCCTACGCTCAAGAAGGGCCTTGTGAAGGGAGATGCTGGCCAAGGTCACTTGGGGTTGGGTGCCAGGTATTTTACAACACTGATCAGTGTCAAATTGAACCAGAAACAACCTCTTCTGCACTCTGAGACCCAGATAAAGGGTGGATGAATGGAACCAGAACTTGAAAATTCGACCACCAATGCATATAGGGTTGTGCAGCTCCAAACAAGGCTGGGGAAGCCCGACCAGTACTGCAAAGCGAAACAAAACAGAAAGCACACCAACCTTGCGCATTACCTCAGTAAACCAAATTATATTGAATACAGAATGATACTCACAAACAGCTAAGTAAATCAAGCATGTAAGTCCTCAATGGAACTTAGGAATTATGTAGCCTGTGCGAGTCCCATCATAGGGGTAGACACTCAGAGTACAGCTGATGCATTTTGAAGGGCGTCCCTTCTTCATCAGAACTACTACTGAGCTACTACTGTAGCTCTGATGAAGAAGGGACACCCTTCGAAACGTGTCCGCCGTACTCTGAGTGTCTACCCCTATGATGGGACTCGGGCAGGCTACATAATTCCTAAGTTCCATTGAGGACTTACATGCTTGATTTACTTCGCTGTTTGTGAGTATCATTCTGTATTCAATAAAATTTGGTTTACTAAGGTAATGCGAAAGGTTGGTGCGCTGTTTTGTTTTGCTTTACAACACTGATCAGTTACATTCCAGCCCTGTCAGAGTAGAGACATTCTTTTTTGTGACACTCTGTTCAAGTTGTATTAAGAAATATGTAAGCGAGTTTGTAATAGCGGTACACAATAACATTTGGTGTGAAATTGGGTAAAAGTACATCAGAAACTTTGACCAGTAGATACAAATTCCTTATGGACAATTCCACTTAAATTAAAAAAAAACTGACCATTGATTTGACTTTAGATTTGCTCAATTAAGCTTTCTTGGTGTGAGGTGATGTGGGTGCGTGCCACTCTGAATTTATGTCATTGGTACACTTGTGCAGATGAAAGTGCAGTTTCTCCATAAGCTTTCCTCACCATTTCCAAACAGTGAATCACCTGGAAGTTCTTGGTCACTTGAGATAGTTTTTCATGTGGATCCCGAGATTGGCTCAACTTGGATCCTTCATGACAACAATGCACCAAGTCACAGTGCTTTGTCTGTCAGAGTTTTTGGCTAAAAAACACATCACGGTGCTTCCCCATCCATCCTACATCCCTGACTTGGCTCCTTCTGACTTTTTCAAATTCCCAAAGATGAAGAAGAGTTTGAAAGGACACCATTTTGGTAGTGTGGATAACATCCAAAGAGCCACTATGCAGGCTCTGAGTGCCATCTCACTTGAAGACTTTCATGAATGCTATGAAGTGCATTGTATACACTCACAAGGTGCATACTTTAAAAACACTGTTCAATTGTAAAATTTTTCAATAAATATAATTTTTCATAAATCCTCAAATATACCTTGTATATACCATTGATTCTGCTATATACGTAGATGTAGTAGTGGTTAGCAGTGTAAACCAATTTAGGAAATGGAAGAAAAGAGGAGGTATCAAAAGAAGAAGATGCGTTTTAGGAAAAGCCACCAGAGGAAAAAAAAAAGTTGAGAATTTATAGCCAAGTTTTAAACTAAGTTTCATGATTTAGTATGCAAATTAATGCATATATTAGAGATGTTTTGCCTACCAAAAATGTGTATTTCTGTCTATACTGCCCTGAGATCTATGCAGTTCTGCCACACAGCACAGTCTTATCGAGCAGAAGAGAGGGACTTATTTTTCTCTTCTGCAGTTTCACTTTTGCATTCAGGTCTCCTTACCTAGTTAGTAACTGAACAATGAAAAGAGAAGCAACACACAAACTCCTCCCTTTATCAGTCTCCTCCTATCAACATGCTCCTTGCAATTCAAGTAATTTCACTGCTTACATATATAGCTGCAGGCTAATTGAACTTTGTATAAAAAGAGATAAATCTGCAAACGCAAAAGGACTCTCTTGTGACACCTTGTTGCTAGGTGACACTGTTTGTGTGAGATGGATGAAAGAGGGAGATGTGTGTAGCGTGGGTGTGGCTTCTAGGACACATTGCTCCACCCACTAGACAAACTGTAGATTTTTGAGAGGCTTCCTGGATGCAAGGGGAGGAACCAGAAAAAAAAGGAGTGTGCAAGCAGCTCCGGAAGGTTCTGGGGGAGTGAGCAGATACTTGGAGAAAGAGGATGTACCGACTGAAGCTCTGAGACTATGAAAAGAACTGCGCAATCTCCAACACAGCTTTCTGCTCAGAGTCTGGAGCCTCTGGTATTTTGATAGAAGCCATTGATTATATGGGGAATCTTGCTCACTTCTTGTCAATCCTCAGAGGCAAGTAGTCAGAACTGTTAACCAGATACCCCAGATATGCTTACTATAACTAGGCTTCGCAAGCAATCTGATAGCTGGTCACACAGGTAGGACATCAGCCAGTTACCCTAGAGAAACTCATTACCAGGTACCATAGGCTAATGATCAGCCAGTCACCTCATAGGAGATATTAATCAGTTCACTCAGGAAAGTCCTCTACTAAGTACTAAAGATAAGTTTTCAGCTGGTCAGTTTATTGATGATGTGACAGAAGACAGAAGCAGCCAGATGAATTCTGCAGTGTTTATAGAGATATACTGTCAGCCCAGATTCAGCAAAATGCAGCAAAGTTGATTGGATGCCACTTCCCAGTACAGATGGAAAATGATCCAAAACACACTGCAAAAGCAATTCAGGAGCTTTTTAAGGAAAATATGTGGAATAGTCTGCCATGGCCGAGTCAATCACCTGATCTCAACCCAATTGAGCATGCATTTCACTTGCTGAAGGCAAAACTAAAGGCAGAAAGACCCACAAACAAAGAACAACTGAAGACAGCTGCAGTTGAAGCCTGGCAAAGCATCAGAAAGGAGGAAATCAAGTCTTTGGTAATGTCCATGGGTTCCAGACTTCAGGCAGTCATTGCCAGTTAAGGATTCTCAACAAAATGTTAAAAATGAACATTTTATTTATGATTATGTTCATTTGTCCAATTACATTTAAGCCCCTGAAAATGGAGGGACTGTGACTTAAAGCTGAAATTAATTTAGATTGTTTAATTTAAATTTATTCTGGTGTCATACAGAACCAAAAGTATGAAAATTGTGACTGTGTCCAAAAATATATGGACCTAACTGTATTTTGTAAATGTGCACCGTTTAGGAGATATTAAAAAATTTTGCAGCCAGAAATGACATTGGCGCATATGCACTGCAGTCCGAAATGCGGGCATACTGAGTGTGCAATGATGGGGACTCCTGTATACATAGGAGTGACCTCGTCAAGGCTCGGCCATTCAAATGGCCAGAGCCTGCAAACCCAGAAGGAAGAGTAGGTAAAGATGGATGAGTGACAGTGAGCCACCAGAGTGCTTCATTTAAAAGGCAAGTCTCTGATAATGTGCTAGTATGACATTAACCTGTAGGGGGACTTTTTTTTTGCATACTTAGCTAATGCTTTAAAACAGTGTACTTGTGTATGAAATAAACCAATAAAACATCGTAAGTGAATAAACAAGTAACATACATAGTATAAAATCCCATTGCAGTGCTAAATGGAGCTGCTTCAACTCAAAAATGTTAGAATCTGGAGCCAATTAATTTCTCAGCCCCAAAGGTAACACTCGGGGATCTACTTGAGCTCCCTGCCACTACTACTTTTGTGGATTCAGTGCTTAAAGTGTTACTAAACCCACAAAATCAGTCTGTATATGAACATAACATACACTAGATCGCCAAATGAATTGGGACACCCCTCCAAATCATTGGATTCAGGTGTACCAATTACCGCCATGGCCACACGTGTATAAAATCAAGCACCTAGGCATGCAGACTGCTTCTACAAACATTTGTGAAAGAATGGGTCACTCTCAGGTGCTTAGTGAATTCACGGGTGGTACCATTTGCCACCTATCAAGAGGTTCATGCATGAAATTTCCTTGCTATTAAATATTCCGTGGCCAACTGTTAGTGGTATTATAACAAAGTGGAAGCCACTAGGAACAGCTGCAACTCAGCCATGAAGTGGTAGGCCACGTAAAATGACAGAGCACAGTGCGCAGAAGTTGCCAACTGTCTGCAGAGTAAAGAGCTAAGGACCTCAAAACTTTGTGTGGCCTTCAGATTAGCACAACAGTGTGTAGAGAGCTTCATTGAATGGGTTTCCATGGCTAAGCAGCTGCATCCAAGCCTTACATCACCAAGTGCAATGCAAAGAGTCGGATGCAGTGGTGTAAAGCACATCGCCACTGGATTCTAGAGCAGTGCAGACAAGTTCTGTCGAGTGACGAATAATGCTTTTATGTCTGGCAATCCGATGGATGAGTCTGGGTTTGGCGGTTGCCAGGAGGACAATACTTGCCTGACTGCATTGTGCCAAGTACAAAGTTTGGTGGAGGGGGATAATGGTGTGGGGTTGTTTTTCAGGGGTTGGGCTGGGCCCCTTAGCTCTTAAGGCATCAGCATACCAAGACATTTTGGACAATTTCATGCTCCCAACTTTGTGGGAAGAGCTTGATGATGCCCCTTCCTGTTTCAACATGACTGTGCACCAGCGCACAAAGCAAGTTCCATAAAGACATGAATGAGTGAGTTTGGGGTGGAGGAACTTGATTGGCCTGCACAGAATCCTGACTTCAACCCAATAGAACACCTTTGGGATGAATTAGAGCGGAGACTGTGAGCCAGGCTTTCTCATCTGACATCAGTGCCTGACCTCATAAATGCACTTCTGGAAGAATGGTCAAACATTCCCATAGACACACTCCCAAACCTTGTGGACAGCCTTCCTAGAAGAGTTGAAGCCGTTATAGCTGCAAAGGATGGACCAACTCAATATTGAACCCACGGACTAAGACTAGGGTGCCATTAAAATTCTTGTGCTTTTAAAGGCAGGCATCCAAATACTTTTGCCAATATAGCGTGTGTGTGTATGTATATATATATATATATATATATATATATATATATATATATATATATATATACCATATTTTCCGGCGTATAAGGTGACTGGGTGTATAAGACGACCCCCTAATTTTCCAGTTAAAACATAGGTTTTGGGCTATACTCGCTGTATAAGACTACCCCCCTTCCGAGGCAACACCATTTCAAAACATCAGATTTTTTCATTGCAATGGTTATGACTTACCGGTACTTAAAATCCTTCAAAATCCTCATGTTCATCCTCTGACATCATAAGTTCATGATTGACATCTTGTGATACATTTGTAAGACAGTCATCATATGGATCAATTCCAAATCAGATGGTTACCGCTGGATGTGCGGTAATACGGTAGCTTCGGCTACATACAGTATACAGTATATATACAGCCCGCTGGATGTGCAGTAATGTACATACAGTATACCGAGCTGAGCCAAGCTGGCTCAAAACAAATGTCTCTATGACAGATTAATCTGTCAGCCCGCTGGATGTGCGGTATATACAGTATACTGAGCCAAGCGGTTTCAAAATGTACCGGTACGTCCCTACTGTAATCAGCCCGCTGGATGCGTGTATGTACGGTAGCTGTGGCTACATACAGTATACACTGGGCCAATCACGGCGAGCGATGTATTCTACTAATGAATACAAAGCCTGCTCGGATTGGCTGAGGTTGTGACATCATCAGCTCACCTCTCTGACTCAGCCAATCCGAGCAGGCTTTGTATTCATTAGTAGAATACATCGCTTGCCGTGATTGGCCCAGTGTATACTGTATGTAGCTGCAGCTACCGTACATACACGCATCCAGCGGGCTGATTACAGTAGTAACGTACAGGTACGTTTTGAAACCACTTGACTCAGCGCAGTATACTGTATATACCACACATCCAGCCAGCTTGACCCAAACAAACTCAAGGTTCACATTTTATACCCCGCGTATAAGATGACCCCCAATTTTTGGGGTATATTTTTAAGTATAAAAGTAGTCTTATACACCAGAAAAATCTCTCTCTCTCTCTCTCTCTCTCTCTCTCTCTCTCTCTCTCTCTCTCTATACTGTATATATAAAACATTGTATAGTTTTACAGTTTATTGTCCAAAATATTGTTCAATACATTTAATGACTATTGAACCACTTCAAGTCTAGATAGTTTCACCCCCTTCCATTCCAGGCCAATTTTCAGCTTTCGGCACTGTTACACTTTGAATGACAAATGCGCTGTCATGCGATACTGTACCCAAATTAATTTTTTATCTTTTTTTTCACACAAATAGAGCTTTATTTTAATGGTATTTGATCACCACTTGTTTATTATATTTTGTGATATAAATAAAAAACATTTTAGTTGTTATAAAAATTTGCAAACAAAAAAAAAAATCCTCATAAATTTAGGTCAAAATGCATTCTGATACATTTTTTGGGTAACACTAACCTAAAATAGTGTATAATATTTAATCTGTGTGAAAGTTTTAGAGTCTACAAACTGTGGGATATATCTGAAAGTTGGTCAGTTGAGACCCTAAAATGCTGGTATGACATACAGCAGTGATCAGGACATTGGTAAGAGGTATCAGGATGCTAGTATATGGTATAGCATTGATCAGGATTCTGGTGTGGTGTATGTGTGTGATCAGGATGTTGGTACCCTATATGGAGGTGATCCAGATACTGGTATGACATGCAGTGATCTGGATGCTGGTATGGTGGTGATCATGGCACTGGCATGGTGTGTAGCAGTGATCAGGGCGCTAGCATGGTATATGGTGGTGATCGGGGCACTAGTGAGGCGTATGGTGCTGATCAGAGCACTGGTAGGGCTTATGGTCGTGATCAGAATGCTGGTATAGCATATGGCAGTGATCATGGAGCTGGTATGGGGTATGGCAATTATCAAGACATTGGTATGGTGGTGTTTTTGTGTGCACTGGGACAGGGCTGGTTGCATTATTTATTAAGAGCTACACTAGGACACGGATCAGGGACACTCTGGCTGGCTGGCTGGCATTGCAGTCTGTGAGTGTACTAGCAGCCTGACAGACTGCTGTGCATTCATAGGCTGCAGCATCAACCGATCTTTACTTTCACTTAGTATTGTTTACTATGTGATTGCTGTGATTGGACACATCAGACACATGGTAAAATACCATGTGATCACCCAGAAACAGCGGTAATGTGATCCGCTGTGTCCGGGTCAGCATCGGATCACTGGGCCCCCGGGTACATGCGCTTTAAGCTCTCATGTCATCCTCATACTCCCTTGTGGAAAAGCACAAATGAAAATAATGGCAAACTAATTTTTCTTGTTTTTTTTGTCCAGTTTCCGCACAAATTCCAAAACTACTGCACTTCTGCAGTTATATCAAGCTATAGAGCCCAGCACTCTTAGCAAAGAATTTGAGGAGACTGCCTGCTGTAACAATAATGAAAAGTGTGAAACAGGTGAAAATACAAAATGTTAAAAGAAAAAAAAAAAAAAGTATCATAGTGAATTGTCTGTCACAAATGGTCAGTAAAATGTAATCAGCAGCTTTCTCTATCCAGAGTCAGCTATGACATGTCTGCACAAGAAATACAAAACACTCTGGGGTTGATTCACTAAAAATCTGGTGCAGTTCTGCATAGAAACCAATCAGCTTCTAACTTCAGCTTGCTCAATTAAGCTTCAGCCAAAAAAACTGGAAGCTAATTGGTTTCTATGCAGAACTGCACCAGATTTTGCATTCTAGTAAATCAATCCCTTTGTGTTGATCCAACAGCCAGACTTAAAGTGATACTATTAACACACACTGTAAAATTTACATTGTCCCCTCTATTTCTGTTTGTGGATGTTGGCACTGTAATTATTTAATAGAAAAAAAAAAAATATTGAAGTACCTTTTTTCTAATCGATCTACAACTGTCATATGACCCAGCTCTTTCCCATCCTGTCTGCAGGGAAATAGATGCAGGAGGAGTTTCCTGTCCTCTGCTACTGGTCACATGTTCAAAATATAAAAGAATTATTGAAAAAAACCAACCAGCCTTTGGGATACAGAATAAGGGCTCATGTACACTGCAGCTGATATACTCACGTTTAGGCGCTGTTCAGCGTTTTTTCATCAGCCCCTGAACTCACCAAAATGTTTTCCTATGTGTTCATGTACACATCTTCGTTTACAGGCATTTGAGTTTACAGTTTTTTTTTTGAACGCAGAAAACTTGCATTCAGCAGTCAATTTTATCAACTTTTCAAATGCAAAACACTTGTAAACATGGCTAAATGCAGGAAATTGCGTTTATAAGCATTTGAAATTTTTTTTTTTAACTCTTTCAGTTCCTGATGCTGTCCAGAACCTTTTTTCATCATAAAAAATGCATGCAAAGCGTTTTCAAGGTACTCAGATAGACAAAACACTGAACTCAGGATGTTCCTACCAAGCTTGTCACACATAGGAATGACCAATTCACACCTAAGACCTCTCCCACCCTTGGAAACAAAAGAAATGTTAATGAGCAACTCACACCTAGCTAATCTCAACAGATACTGTTCTCTCTGCTTCTACTCTCTGTATTTCTCTAAAACAGTCCGAAATAGTTAATAATTTACTACTTTTCAGTGCAGTGTGGGCATTTGGGAGGTTCTCCTGTGCTTATCTTTAAAAAAACGCTTCTAAACGCGCATTAATGCATTATGCAAACCCAGCTAAACAGACTTTTTTAACCTACATTTTCTAGCAGTCAGTTTCCATCATTCAGAAGTGTCCTGTGTACATGAGTCCTAAAAGTAAACAAGATCAATAAACTGTTTTTAAATTGTAACACAAATATATATTTAAAATTAAAACTAGTTTTTTTTTTTGCAATAGCATGGTGTGAGCGGATTTCTGACAGTCACAGGCTGTGTCACTTCTGCTTTCCCATACCAGAAATCTGCCTTTGAACAGCTTTGCCACCAGCGTCCGTGCACACCGGGCCTTATCTCCCTTCTTTATGCAGCTTTGAACAGACTCTCGTTGAATACTTCTCTTTCATATGTTGTTCAGTGGGAGCACGACCTTGGAGTGTCTGTGGATCCGGAGGACTGGAATAAGGCCTGGTCACTCATAGCTAAATACTCATTCAATACGACCACGCTGGAGGCAACCTATAACGTATTGTTTCGTTGGTATTGGGTTCCGGCTCGTTTGGCCCAGGCTAACCCTGCCTGTAGTGATCGATGTTTTCAGGGTTGTGGCCATTGTGGTGATGTATTGCATATCTGGT